TCTGACAGTCAACTGCAATTCAATGAATTCAACAAAGTCAAGGAGCAAATAGCAAATGTCACAGTTGGTCTACAAAAACAGATGTCCCTTCTCCAAATGGACATCAGATCAGCCCTAGCAATAGCTTCAGCAAATCAGGTAGTAACCAAAGACTACTTGAAGGTGATCATTGACAATCAAAAGGAAGCATACAAGCTGTTCAGACTTATTGGTGCACATTCTGGGAACCGCAAGATGGAAGTGATTCTCCAACAACACAGGTCATCTCCAATACCACAGCTCCCTATTGCAGTGAAAGAAGGAGAAGCATCTTATATCCCTTCTCATCTGAACATGACTAATCTGATCCTTGAAGCACAGCAAAGAAATCCGGAAAACTCAGCACAGCACCTATCCAGCTCAGGACTGGATGGAACAGAATTTATAGGTGCAGTTGCTGACCACTTCTCAGATGCTGCTCAATCAGAGGAAAGGCGTGAAAATTTAAGGCGCATCAAACAACTGTGTGGGAACATGCAGGGCATCAGTGAGGTTGCCGGATCTTCAAAACGCAAAAGGAACTGAAGTTTCTTTTCATCAAACCAGGGGGAAAGTATGTGAAAACATTTGTTTTGATGAAAACACCTTCTTGTTTAAACATTGCTTGATTGGTTTAAACATTGCTTAAGTATGCCTTAATTGCGCTTATTGTGCTTGATTATGCTTATCTCAAGTATGATTTTGTCTTAATTATTTTTCTGAAGCGCATACATTCAGGGGGAATGTAATTCAGGGGGAACATACCTAGTTTTGGCTAACAATTGTTTTTGGCTATGAATTATTGATGAGCTCTAAGCAATGGAAGACGGATATCTCAGTTTTGGTACTAAAATTGGAAATCTCCGATTCACGTACTTTACAAAATCTGCCTTCTTAAACTAAGCTTTAGTCATTAATTCATTTCCAACCAGCTCTAAAAGTACTGGTCCCTAGGATGTTTAAAAATGTACAGGACTTTGGAAAAATAGTACCACTTTTCTTTTAAATACTCATATTTGTTTTGGTGCTACCTCGTCCTAAGTAGAAATTAGAACTATAGGGAATGAAAAATGATAGTTTTATTTTGGGCCTTGAGAACCCAATAGGAATAATTTCCCTTTAGTACATAGCTTTCTTTTCTTTTTGGGCCACTCTTTTGGGCTTAGCCAAACTAAAACAGTTACGTTTCTCAAACCAATCGAAACTGATTTTCAAATTAAAACAGTTTCAATTCTTTGGTAAGTGGTAAAAGATTCCTTTTACTTTTCAACTTCTTGGAAGTTGAAACTCCTTTACTCTCACCGTTCCAACTACCCACTTAATGGAACCCGTGAACCTTCTCTTCTCCTAATTTAAATCAAGATATCTCAATCCATTTCCATCACAAACAACTCTCTCAATATGAAAAGTCCCCAAACTCACTGTCTAAGGAACACACCAAGAAAAATATCCTCAATGGAGAAATTCTTCTTTCTCACCCTCATAGACGGCAATGGAAGAAGTCTATTGAGAAGAAAAGACTTTTAAGGTCTATGGTGAGAATCTCGGCAGTAGAGAAGGTCTATGGTGGAAATCTCGTATTTTTCAGTATTAGACCATACACCTTCTCTGGAACAACACTCCCTCTATCTTTCTTCTTATTTTGAGAGATGTGTTGCTTCCAAGATTTTAAATATCTACTTTGGATGTTAAAGATCTATCAAACGCAACGCCAACAGCTCTGCCAAGCAGAATCTGGTGAAGCTGAAAACTGTCAATGGCGGAAGAGATCACAAAATCTCAAGACAAAACCTTGGTTTAGGAATTATTGTAATTTGAATTGTATTTGTTTAAGAGTTTTTGTTAACAAGCTGTATATTATGAGAAACTAAAAGAAAGTTACAAAATTAGTTCTCAGTACAGCGACCGAAACTCTTAAGCACTTGTTTGTCATCATCAAAAAGGGGGAAATTGTTGGGAAAAATATCATAGATTTTGATGATGATGTATTTAGAATGTAATAGGGACTTTAGGTCTCCCCCAATATTCAATGTAATTTTTCTTTTTAGAAATATTGTTAAAACCAAGTTCTTGAGTTTTCCATTAAGGTTGTGATATTTCTTTAAG